ATGTCTATTAATTGAACAATAAAAATGCGCTTTAAAGAAGTTCTTGGTCTTCTTGGGTCAGTTTTGACTTTGTACCATTGGTGGCACCTTTGCAATAGCATCATACCTGCGACATGTATGACCCACTAAGACCCTCCTCTATGATGCGCACGCTTTCTGTCCGTAGTAAATAGTTTTTCAGCTTGATCTAAGAAATTCGGCATGGTCATTCTGTTCAATTCAATTTAAAATGCAAGGAACCGTTTCGAGGTCTGCCTGAATAAATTGACTCACAGCTATGTTTTATCAGGAGTACATTACACTCGGCGGTATCTTTTAAAACTTGATTCAAACGCCATTTGCTTTTTATATGCTGAACGGCTGAGTTTAAAATAATCAAAGAAATGAATCCCTGGGTCTAGCAAAGTGAATATTTCAAGTTCGCCAAGAGCGTGTTGCTCGCACTTGTTACATTTTCTAGTCAAGTTATTCAAATTTCGCCTTACCTTTGCGGCGTTTCACACAGGTCAAGGTCCAGCATAAAGAAAGAGAAGATGATAAAATGATCACAAAATTGATGCAGCGGGTGTAAGTAGTACTCAACTTTAATAGCTTTGATCATCCTAGAGGCAACAGGATGTAAATTCCACAGTACGTGGGCTGATTGAACTTGTTCCTGTTATTTTTGCACTCAAGAACTGCATTGTTGAACGTAATCAACAGTTAGGCTACAACAGTTTCCGGAATTATAATTAAACTTTGCGAGGAAACGGTCGAAAAGGAACGCCAACATTTGATAACCAATTGGTCTGTGGTGAGTTGATGTAAATTCCACAGAAGGTGGATGTCTGCTAGCCTGCAAAGTGACCCGGCTCAGGCTAACAAAACACTTTAATTTCAACAGAACAATATCAGTTAACAGAACTTTTGTTTGTCATCAGGGTTAACTTCAAATTCCACACACCAAATGAGCCACTTGAAAATATTGCCCAGTTTCCTTTCCATACACATTTACTAAGTTGAGCAAAAGGTTCTTGTTTCTTGTTTCACCAAAATGTCCCATTTTCGATTAGGTACTCATAGCCTGTAGAAGAGGCGGATTAGCGGGCTAGCGGGATACACGAGTGCAGGCGCGAAGCGCGAGGCGAAAATAAATCGGCCGGTAGTCGCAATGCTCTCCAAACCGTTCGCCTGGCGAAGGGTTTTTACTAATTGATTGCTTTAAGCCACGTGACATAGAAACTTCCTCTTGGTGCTCGCCACGAGAGTGGAAACGCTCTATCATGCAAAACATAAATGTTGCCTGCCAGACTCCAGGCGTAGTCAATCGATAGCTTTCAGTCATGGTGGGCAGTTGTGTAATTAATGGTTAGAGAAATGCATATGACACTGACATTCGAGCACCATGACGTGACAACCAGAATGAAGATGTGGACGTGTTTTGAGTGACTAAATCCTGTTTTCGACAAGATAAACCTCTCTATATTTTGTTTTGAACGGTGATGAACGCTAGATCTGCCTGCACTAATTTAAAACGAAGTTAAGAGATTGTCACTTGTAAGGAATTTTGATTGCTATTCAATAACTTTATGAAACGTTATAGAGGCAAAGTTATCAAGCACCATGTTCCCGTTCCGACAATTATCAACTCTGCCTCCCTCATTTTCTTGCATTTTGATTGGCCAGTTGAAAGAGAAGCCGTCAGAAAGTTGTCCGCGATAATAGCGTACGCAGTGACAAAAATCTATATTATTGTTTAGCATAACTTTATGTACTTAATGATTCAGGCGTAGCGAAAACAGGGAATGCAAAATAGAACCGAGAGAAAATTCATAGAGACGGATATAGTCTTAGCCTCTTTATCACACACAAACCATTAATAGTTTTAGTAGTAATAGTATTCAACAAAATAAACTATTTGTGGTTTCAGATCAAACTAATCAATTCAGTTCTATTATGCGTACTGACATGCAACAAAAGAAGTGTTGGTTATGGCTTCATTAACCATCCGACTTACTGTTCTTTGAAAAATCCCTGAGCCTCTTCTAGGCGTTTGGCTGGTTGTGGAGCAATGCGAAAAGAGGCGAGAGATAACATTTGGGAGAATTCCAACTCTCTTTTTTTCGCTGGCCGTTTTTCGCCTAGCACTCCAACTAACTGAACGCATGGAAGATGTTATACTAGCCTGAAACACGTCAATTACGCAGCGAATTTCATTCTTTTATCGTGAACAACACACAATGATGTCCGTCAAATGTCTATTTGAACAATGAAAACGCACATCAAAGCAGTGCCTGGGTCAATTTTGACTGAATTTATGCCATTAGTGATGCCTTTGCAACAGCATCATACCTGCGACCTGTCTGTCATTAAAATTGCGAACTGTGATTAAAATCGTCTTCCAGCTTGATAAGAAATTCGGCATGGTTATTCTGTTCCACTTTTTTTTGTGTGTGTGAATTAAAGCGCAACGGACCATTTTGAGGACAGCCTGAATAAAGTGACTCACAGCTGCGTTTTATCAGGTGTATATTATTCTCGGCGGCCGGTTTCCAAACTTGACTTAAACGTTATAGAGTATGCTGTACAGCTGACCCCAGCAAAGTGAATATTCCATGTTCGCCAAGTTACATTTTCCAGTTGTTTAAGTTTCGCCTTACCTTCGCAGCGTTTCGCACAGGTCTCGGTCAAGCATAAAGAAAGCGCGAAGTCGATAAACTGATCCCAAAATTGATGCAGCGGATTTAAATACTCAGCTTTACTGCCCTGATCATCCCTGAGGCAACCGCAGATAAATTCCACAACACGTGGGCGGATTAAAAGTGTTCCTGTTATTTTGGCACTCAGGAACTGGGTTGTTAAATATAATAGATCAACGGTCAGGCATTTTCTTTGCCCAGTTAAAAGAGAAGCCGTCAGAAAGTTCTAATTAATAAATTAGAAAAAAACGTGGTAACAGCCCTGCCAACGGTTAGACGAGCGCAGTGACCAAAACAATATCATTAATATTGTTTAACATGACTTCAGGCGTGACACAAACAGGGAATACAAAATAGAACCGAGAGAACTTTAATATAGACGGATATAGTCACAAAAACCAGTGATAATTTCGTATTCAACACAATAAACTGTTTGTGGTTTCAGATCAAGCTAATCAATTCAGTTCTAATATACAGATTTAGCCAAGCCTAAAAGCGGAGCTCCTGATTGCAATAACTGACCAATTATTTTTTCTTGGGTCAGAAACTCAAAAAGTGATCAATTGTGAGCACTTAATTGTTCAGCGTGTGGTTTTGCTATTTTTCCCAGTCAAATTTTAGCAAACTATACCCAACAAGCCTAACCAAGATTGTAGAAATTACGTACGCAATATATCAGGGACTTTCCAAGAGACGATTGTACAAGGAATATGTCAGAAGAAAAGTCAACAACGCGCCAGGGGTTAATTTACGCCGAAATTTTACCTTTGCGAGCACTTCCTTCTTCTCCTTCAGAGAAATAACCTGACTTGAGTCCGCGATCCAATCGGAAAAACCAGTAACTGGTCAGTGGTCAACTTCAAAAAAGCACGCAACCTCGATGAGCTCTAAACCTGAGCCCGCGATATGGTCGCGTGATACTGGTCAGCGGATAGGTTGTTGTGACAGCTGTCGATTAACAATAGCGTGGATGCCCAAAATCAAAGATGTAGCTATGGTAATGGTGCTATTCTCTTAGTTTTCAAGGTATTGGCGCACGGACGTAGGGACGGACGGACATACGCACGGACAGTCACGTGACAACCAAAATTTTTCAGATCAATGGGTTACCAAACTTTCTAGGTATGGAGCTCCGCTCGTGCGCCTTCGGCGCGTAGGAGCTCCGCTATTATGCATACTGACTTACAATAAAAGTAGTATTTGTTATGGCTTCATTAATCATCTGATTTCTCGTCAGAGGCTCTTTGAAGAATCGCTGATTGGTTTCTGCGCTGAAACCAGCCTCTTGTAGGCGTTTGGTTAGTTGAGGGGCAATGCGAAAAAAGGCGAGAGAAAACATTTGTGAGGATTCCGGCGCTCTTTTTTTACTCCCCTTTTTTCGCCCAGCACACCAACTGATCGTAGGCCTGGAAGGGGCTATACTAGTCTGCAACACGCCAATTACGCGACGAATTTCATTACTTTACCGTGAACAACATTGGTGTTCGCCGCAAATGTATATTTGAACAATACAAATGCAACTCAAAGAAGTGTATGGGTCAGTTTAGACTTGCCACAAGTCGACCTCATGAGTTGCAGGGTGGAATAGCTAAGCGAGCCGCGAGGTTTTAGGCCGCGAAGCGACGTTGTGAAGGTCGCGAAGCGGCCGAGCGAGCGACGAAGGACTTTACTGGATGTCTCGGGTCAGTTTTGGCTTGAAGAACTGTTGCATTTGCAATAGCATCATATCTGTGACCTGTGTTACTTGTTTAAAAATTTACCTGGACATGAAAATGATCTCTTTGGTACGAGTGGGGATAACGGACGAAATCCCTCCCTGAGTAAGGTCATGGCTGAGTATGACAAGTAAACATGTTCATTTGCCAAACTGCTAGTCCCATCACAGTTTTAGAGGCGGCCATTTTGATTTCGTTTGCTTTAAAAAAGAACAGTTGTTTAAGGCGAAAATGGGTTAGCTGTAAGGTCCCAAAAGAAATTCTCCTCTTTGTGGTTAGCACAGCAAACTCTTTTGAGCAAAATTCTAAAACACCTCTCGAGGTGAAAACATGCGCACAATCTGAATAGATTTAAGTCGGATGTGATGGATACGATTGATCTTCGATGGGACGGATAATTTGTCCTCGTGCGTCTGAATTGCAATGTGTGTCAGAATAAAGTCCAGCAGAGGACGGTCAATTCGTTGAGACGAACTATCCGCCTTTGTACATTTTAACGACGAATTGAGAACTCACTTTTTCACAAGACGCATAAAACAGCAGACACCTAACCCGGTAAATACCTGGCGCAAAAAGAAAAGAAACAAAAAAGAAGAAAACATGTGAATACATGAGCAGACATTGTCTTTATTAACATTGGATTATTATCTGACAAAATTTTCAGTGGTTAACAATACACACATATATAGTGGCAGTTAGAAACTGGATGAAGTTTTATGAATTTTAGAAAGACAAAAATGGGGTTTACAAGTTACTACTCCAAATTTTCCTTCAACATCTTATTTTAAATATCAGCAAAAAGCCCATCATGGACATAGCTATCGTTTCACTGGTTACAAGGGTTTGATTGATTTACAATGAGGCTCGATTGTGGCCAGGTATGAGAAAGGTAGACAAAATAGGTCCGCGTGGTGTACGAATTGCACACACGAACTCCGTAACTACGATGACAGTTCGAGTGCACCAATGTGATAGATGGCTTTTCGATTACATAATGACACATTTCCCTTCATTCGCTTCCCTTGACCAGGCAGAAGGAGAAAATCTCCAGGGATTGTGGCTTTTCAATTGACTATTGCTGAGGAAGCCTTTGAATATTCTCGCCGGGTAAGCGTTCACAACTCCTCTGGTGTTTGAAAGCATTCGGATGGGTATTTCAGTTTCCCCGATCCATTCATTCTTGTCAGCATCATAACATTCTACTCTTTTATCAGATGCTGGGGCCTCAAAATTCGACATGCGGCAGCCAAGAGCATACAGTTTGTGATCAACTGACAAAAGTTTGGCACGTATCCCCTGTCTGATGTTCAAGCTTGCAATAAACTGCCACTCATCTGTTGTTTCACTGTATACCTCACATTGACACGTTTCGTGCAGACGTGCAACCCTTCCAGTGATGAAAATTCTCCCTTTACAGGCTGCTCCGCTCAGCTCCATTTTCGGTCGTAGAAAGTCAGCTACCTTATTCCAATGGTTTTTGCAAAGACTGTACCTGTAAACATCAGTGTAGCGGATGGTCGACTTTGTCGTCTGACCTCTCGTCTGACCGCCATGTCTTACTCGAAGTCTTTCTTTACCGCCAATAAAATAGACAAAATCATCTTTGGCTACAATGCAAATATCTTCTCTCGCGTCCAAGTGATCAAACGAAGTTACATCTTTCCACGAGTTTGATTCCACTTTGTATGTTGTGATGAAGGAAACACATTTGTTTCCTCTAACGTTCCTGGCATCTCGTCTTCTGGGTTTCACAGGTCGTCTTTCAGACACCCGAGCGTATATTTCATCGACATTCACAACAAATATTTCCCGTAATACCCAGTTAAAAGGTAACCGGCTTGGTTTCGGAATATGTTGGATAATGGAGTTTGAATATGGATTATAGCTTGCAAGTGTAGGCGCCTCCCAGTAAGAAAAAAGCCACTTCTTATATGAATGCAGTTCACCCCGACCAAAGATAAAATCTACCCTCTCAGAATATTCACGAGGTATTTCACCTAGCTTACACTACCTGCCCTCTCGAGGAAAATAACACAAAATAGGTTGAGCGCTACTGATAAGTTCCCAGTTACGGCTGATGTTCGGGGTTATTGCGCTCGAATAAGTGACAACTATAACATTGGTCTCGATCGACTTTCTAAGTGAAATGGACAAATTATCATAGTTTTGTGAATTAATTAAATGTATAGCGTCCACCACACGTTTCAAACAGGTTTCATTGTCTTTCACCAAATCATTCTTTAGAATATTACCGTATAGAAAGTCACGCGATGCAAAAAGCAAGTCGAACGTGACGAAATAACTCGGCGAAATATTGCTGTCGTTTGTTTCTGTCGCGGTTAATCCATGCTAGAATGATCTTAAACACGTCTTCTTCGGAGCTAACATTTATTGCATCACCTGAAAGCCACTTTTCCATTTCTTTATTCGACATATTAAGAACCTCTTCACGGTTCGTTTCGTACACGGAGGTGAAATTTGCAATGATGTATTTTTCGGTCTTGACCAAAAGTTCCTCGCATTGATATGTTTGGGGAAAATAGTAAGCCGAAATACAGTTTGAAGTATTCAACATCTCTCCTAAAGCTCCCTCAGCGAGCGGTTTTAAGTTCGGAAGAATAAAATAATCCGCTGAAACCACAAGATCTCGGGCATTGTCTTCAGCCAATATCTGAACAGTACCCGTGTAAATAAACTGCAGTGTATTTCTCAAAGCAGACTCGGAAAACATTTCCAAACGAACAATTCCTTCTCTGGACTCTTTCATGTCGCTGTTTAGTAGTTTTTCAAAGAAGGGACTTGCCTCTGAAAGAACTTGCTTATGAGCTTTGAGTTCTTTGCCATTTTCACCCACCAAAATAACATCCCATCGCTGATCGAGCGTCTCTTTTGGCGTAAACACTTCATTTAAATTTTCTTTCCTTAGAATTGAGGACACATGCTCAGAATTATCTTGACGCTGAGATAAGGCTGCCATCTTTTAACTTACCAAAATACAAGACGCTTGGTTTTAACGACGCTAGTCTGCGAGGGATTTCGTTCAACTGTCCGCTTGTCGTTTCAGTTCTCTCGGCTCTATTTTACTTTGGTACGTTGTTATGTTATGTAAATTTATTTCGCTCATCAGCATTTGCATATATATCGCCCGAAACAGATTTTCCTTCCGGCTATGTTTTCTTTGAAGGTGACAATGTAGCACACAATTTTGTCTCCACTTCACAACAAATAACAACACAGCATCGCTGAACCAAATAAGTTTATTTTGGGAGGGCCTGGCGAGAACCACCCCTAGAGTGACAAAGAATTGGGCAAAGGCGTGATAAATAGACACTAATAGCTTGAGCAGGTCATTAACAGGTTCAGACACAAAAGCACTGTTGTTACGTGCGGAGGCATTGTTAGCTTTAGAGAAAGGTGTGGGAAGATGAAAAAACGGGATCTTGTAACCCTGGATAATGACATTCAGGATGAACTGAGAAACTTCTAACGAACGCCAAAAATCAATGCATTTTCGAAGTCTTCCACGAACTGAGGGCTGAGCGGGAGTATCAATATCAGCAAAACATTGTTGATCTTTAAACGAGCTTAAAACTAGCGGGAAAACATTGCAAAAAGTCGGGTCAGAANGGGAGATATTAGCTCCGTCGTTACATTTGACTATAAGATAAACAGGCCATTTGGCCTACTTCCCCAAATAAGCTCTCATTACAAGCTTTGTGCCAGTTTGGCTGCCAGTTGGGCTGGGGAACATCAACTCGGACATTACGTTAAACTACAATATAATCAGGCCATCTTGGCCTACATCCCCATATAAGCTCTCAAGCTTTGTGCCAGTCAGGCTGCCAGTTAGGCTGGGGATCATCAACTCCGACGTACAATGCAATATAAACCTAAAGTACAAAAATACAAGAAGAAAACGAACAAAAGTCTTTAAAAAAAACTGGTAGAGCTGAGCAACCGTTAACAAAGCAAATGCGGTTTGAACGGAGGCCAGAAAAAACCTGCCAGAAAAAACCCCTGAGGGGAAAAAATATGTAGGAAATCTGGGCAGCAACCAAGACTCAAGCTCCAAGCGATTAGAAGCCCATCCTACGAAGGCTTTACAAAAATGAAATTAGAACAGCCGATCCTACGAAACTGGATACGTGGTACCTAGAAAAGAAAGAACTAAACAAAGAAAGAATTAAATGAAACGAAAGAACGCGGTTGGTTCTGAAGTCTAGCTGACAACCACGTGTTATACCCGGTCTTATATGCCCCTACATCTCTACCCATGATGCCCCGGCCTGGAACCCAGGCCCTTGTTGTATCTCGTGCCGACAAAATAGTTATTTCAGCCTTATCGCCAGCTCACTCGTCCGAAATAACATATTTTGTCTCCACCCCACAACAAATAATAACAGCATCGCTGAACCAAATAAGTTTATTTTGGGAGGGCCTGGCGAGAACCACCCTTATAGAGTGACAAAGAATTGGGCAAAGGTGTGATGAATAGATACTAATAGCTTACATGGCTTAGAACCCAAGGAATTTGGAAACAGAAAGTCTTTGATCCAGATCGTCATCAACATATATGTCTTTGGCTTAGACCGACTTCCAGCGACCGTGTCGCTGAAACACTCTCACTGACACCATTGTTAGCTACCATAGTCGCGCCACCCGAACGCTGAGAGTGCAGTCCGAACTTGGATGGGTCAGCCCCAATGGTCTTCAAATCTCGTCTGAAAGCTTCTCTCGTAGTGCTGTAACTAATAGGCTTATCAGGAGCTATCAGCTTACAAGAATCCTTTCCCTTGGAAATGGGTCTAGAAATCAGATAAAAAAAACTCTTTATTGCATAAAGAGAATGGCACCACGGTGGGACCAAACAATGGTCTACATTAAGACATCGTAGGTGGCTCACGCAAAGGCGTACATAAAATTAAACTAAAGTAGCGTCTAATAACAAGAGTCACACTTTCCATAAGGCAAAGTGCAAACCCCCCACGACATAAAGGGGGCCTGGGGCGGCGAAAGTCGACTCGCAGAGCAACAATATCAAAATCAAGGGGTCTGGTGCCAAAAAGGGAATTACGGGCTTTCCCTTCGACAAATAATCCCTGGAACTTGGGCAAGTAGAACCAGTCAATAACGAATCTGCTCCAGTGCACACCATCTGTTGCGCAGACGTTCCAAAAGAAAGACGACTTCCATACCGGTAAAATTAGGGTTCCTCTAGCAAGACACACTTCCATGTGTTTAAGAACTCTGACAATTAGGCAAACCAGGGGACAGAGCCAGTTATTGTCATATCCCCAGTCCTGAGAAAAGGCGTCAACTACCTCCCAACCGGGCTGAAAAAAAAAAAAAAGGGAATTAAACCTTGGCAATTTGGAATTGTAACTACAGGCTAACCTATCGACGGCATGGGGTCCCCAGTGATCATTAATACTCTGAAAAACAAAATCATTAATAGCATAATCGTCGAAATCAACAAGCTTGCTGATGGAGTCGGCTCTGACATTAAGATTCCTAGGGATCCATCTAGCATCAAGAGAAATGCGGTACTTACGGCAAATCTGAAAGGCGTCCAGAGCTAACGCCTGCAGATCCAACTTCCTGCTGCCGTTGAGAAGAATAGACTCGACGTTCTGGTTGTCTGAATACCAGATGACCCTCGCGTTCGACAAACGACGTACAAAGGCCTCCAAGGCAAGACTAGCGGCCTTAAGTTCTCTCCAAGTAGAACTCTGCAGTCTTTCCTCAGGGGACCAATTCTGATGAAAAACCAATTCGGGGTTAGACTCGACAAACGCGCCACAGGCTGAATCGGAAGCATCGGAGAAACTAACTCGGACCGGAAGCGATCGCACCCCCCAATGAACTCTGCCGTTGAGGTAGTCTACATTGTTAGCCCAAAAGTTAATCTCCGAAATGAAATCATCTGTCAAGAAAACTTTGCTATCCCAGGAAGAAGCAGAATTCACAACTGAAAAGAGATGCCTGGTCATAATACGGGTGACTGACTCCACGCAAGAAGAAAGTGAAATAATCAGGCCCGCAACGCTGGCGACGCTTTTAAAGCGAACCTGGCAAACAGACTGTCGCGAAGACAATGTCTGCAATGACCCGAGGTCGGAAGTCAATTTCACGATGCGCTCATCGGTGGCCTGAACAAAGCCATCAATGGTGTTAAGAACATCTCCTAGCCATGTAATAACTTGAACTGGTTCCCAAACGGACTTTTCCTGGTTGGGGACGAAACCAGACTTGAGTAGATCGGAATGAACGGCCAAGCTGTGAATCTTGGCAGGAACTTTATCAATTCCCCCTCCTAGACCATCGTCCAGGAAAATGGCAATAGGAATGCCCCGACTTCTCCAGGATTTTTGAAGCGGTTTGAGAATCTTGGTGAAAATAAAAGGAGCAGAAGAAAGGCCAAACGGAAGAACGCAAAATTGAAAGTATCTGAACTTCCCAGTGCCAGAATCCCAAGCAAATGAGAGGTATTTGCGGTGCTCTGGGAAATTTCAATATGATGGTAACCGGACTTCAGATCAAATTTAAATAAATAATAGTCCTTGTCGAAAATCTGAGTGGCCACGGACAAGTCTTCAAACTTGAACTTTTGCTTGTAGATGAAAGCGTTCACATGCATCAGATCTAAGATCAGTCTTTGTTTACCCGAACTGCGAGTAGAAACGGAGAGCGGATTAGTAATGTCCAGCGCGCAAGAAATTTCTTCGACAAGGTTAAGCTTGAGAAGGTCATTAACAGCCTCAGACACAAAAGCACTGTTGTTACGTGCAGAGGCATTGTTAACTTTAGAGAAAGGCGTGGGAAGATGAAAAAACGTGATCTTGTAACCCTGGATAATGACATTCAGAATGAGCTGAGAAACTTCTAACGAACGCCAAGAATCAATGCATTTTCGAAGTCTTCCACGAACTGAGGGCTGAGCGGGAGTATCAATATCAGCAAAACATTGTTGATCTTTAAACGAGCTTAAAACTAGCGGGAAAACATTGCAAAAAGTCGGGTCAGAAATAGAATCAGGCTGACTACTATCGTTCAAAGCTTCCAAAATAAAATCATTACGATCAAAACAAGACAGGACTACACCTGATAAATCCTGCTCATCTAGTCATTTTGAAGTTGGAGAGCCGGACTGCTTTGGCAGGCACGCCAATGCCCGGTCTTTCCACAAGCAAAGCATGTGCCAATGTTAGGACGACGAGGCAGGAAACCAGAATTGGCAGTGGCTGGCAGGAAGGACCGAGTTTGCGATTGGGAACTTGAAGGCAAAACCGACCCGCGGAGCGGAGAAGATCTTTTGGTCGCAGCCATTGCTGAAGACTTCTTCTTTCGGGAAGACATAACTGCACGGGCACGTCTCTCAGCACTGTAGATGCGTTTTTCGTCCTCCGAATCATCTGCTAGATCGTGATGTTTGTATTCTTCGACCGTACTCCAACCGTATTCGGACTTGTCAGCAAGAAGAATGTGTTTTTGCCGTTCCACGAGCAATTTCTCACCTTCTTCGAGGTCGGACTTCACTTTCTCAAGGTTGGACTTCTCGGCGGCGGACTTGGCGCTGTCGAAGGTCTCCGCAAGTTTAAGATTGAACTTGTACTGGTCTTCATTGGCTTTTCTTTTAAACTTGTGTGGTTCTTGAAATTTCAGTTTCTTGATCTCTTTCATTTTCTGTTCTGTCGAAGTTTCGTTAGCACGGTTAATCTGACCTGCAGTGTCCTTGAGCAGCTCCATAAAGGAGGCCATTAACTGATCGTTGTTGGCTTTAATTAGGTCGGACACTTCGTCCTTGGTAACCGACATTACGCACGGCAAAGGGAAAAATTAAACGAAACGAAAGATCGCGGTTGGTTCTGAAGCCTAGATGACAACCACGTGTTATACCCGGTCTTATATACCCCTACATCCCTACCCATGATGCCCCGGCCTGGAACCCAGGTCCTTGTTGTATCTCGTGCCGACAAAATAGTTATTTCAGTCTTATTCGCTAGCTCACTCGTCCGAAATAACATTTATTCGTTCAATATCGGCAGTTTTAATTTTTGTGGAAGACCCACAGCTGAACCTGACAAAAAAACAGTTTGAAACGTGAAGCTTGAGTAAACAATCGATTACAGTTGCGTGAGGGTTGGGATTTTCGGTTTTGCGGATTTAGCTAATTTTTGGTTCGGTTTTCGCACTAAAAATCTACGGTTTTTCGGTTTTGGCGTCTTGTGCGGTTCGCTGGTTTTCTCCAATTCAGTCTTTGGTTTTCGGTTTTTGTCAACCATGATGGGGGTTTTTCGGATTTTTCTGTCCAGTTTACGGTTTTTCTGGTTTTGTCAAGGAAGTTACACCCTGCAGTCCCGCTAAAACTCTAATTCCAAAGGACCGTTTATATAGCCTTCTACCCAGACTTTCTTTAAGACGATATATGACAAGCCTAGTCTCTTTAATTTAGCAGCCGTTATTTGGGTCGTAACGGCTGCCAAGCAGACTATGAAAAGCTAAAGGTAACATCAAAGGAAAAGACTATTTCTCTAATATCACGCGGCTGGGATAATATCGTGTGGACTTTTGACCTTAGACTGTGGACCATCAAGTTTCTATTAATAGCTCGATTGCAAGTTGTCCCCCCTTTTTGTCGTCGGAATAACATTGCCCTCACTCACTCCGTTCACGTGGGATAAAAGCAACCGAGAGACTGTTTGTTTGGTTGTAAAATAAAATTCTGACAATGGCAATTAAAAAGCAGCTTCAGAATGTGGTGTTTCTTTTAAACAAAAATCACGTAAATCATGTTATCGTGCTTTTTTTATAGTTTCACACTGCTATAAGTCTGGAGCCAATTTATAAAAAAATAAAGCAAATTTTTAGATTATGATGAGTTCTGCACTAACGAGGGGATATGCTGAAAGAACTTTGCAAGTGAAACAAGTTTAGACTTATAAAATTACATAACAGAAAGAAATTTGGTTTTCGGTTTGGACGAAATTTATTTATTTAGCTGGGACCACCAAACAAAGTCAAGTACTTACTCAACTAAAGCCACTTTGACAGTTATTAGGACTGGCCAACAGAACGGCGAAGTCTTGGAACTTTAAAAGAGAGCGAAGTTTGGAAACGAAAAAAAGTCGGAAACGGAAAAAAGTCGGGGTACTTTTTCCGGGCCCCGGAAGACTTTTTCACACAACGTAATATAGAGTATGGGCTTTCAGAAAATTTTAGTTTCGACTTCAAATTCTATATACCAGTGGGCTTTTGATGGTATTGAAATTAGCTAAAATTAGGCCATTCGCTCACGAGCTTCGATGAAGGTACTTGTATCGGCCTAAAATATTGTAACACTTGAAGCTTTTGCTAATCAAATTAATGCTTTAGAAACAGCAAGACATGCACTATGAGCTACCCAAAGTATGTTGAGAGATATCATTGCCTTGATCTGCACGAGCGAAAAGGAAATGCACAATTTTCGGGGCGGCTGCCAGCTAAAATGGCGATTTTCGAACTTTCCTCGATTTCAAAAAAAAACTAAAGCGGTTCAGGACCTTTGAATCGTATTTTCGAAAACAACTCACTATAGAGGTTATTAGGGCAAAATATGAAGAAATCCGAAATTTTTGCGACTATCATCTCATTCTCGGTATTTAGAGAAATTGGCTCTTAATGACTTGTCCCGAGGGAAACAGTGAAGTTTGTTTCCCGAGAATCTCAATGCTTTCCGAGACGAAGTCGAGGGAAACAAAATTTACTGTTCCCCAAGGGACCAGTCATTACGTGATTTATTATATAGCAAAACAAATGGGTCAAACTGGTGGAAAACAAATAATCACTTTATGACAAGTGATGTGCAGCAGCGGTCAACATATCGCGGGTAACAGTGAACTGTTTCCCGTTTGACGTCATAGTTTTCGCAATGTTGCCAGCTCATTGCATTTGGCGGGAAACAGTTTCATTGTTAGATGTCATGTGACCATGAACGTAACAATGATGGGCGCGCTGTAGCGGGAAAAACGCTAGCTATATAACAAATATTACCACTGCATAGCGTATATAGAATGGTTATTTCTATACTTGTCCTGCGAAATATGGTTCTTGTTATAACCTACTCGCGAATCTAATGGACCTCATTGCAATAGACCTCATTCGTATTCTCGGTAGAGGCTAATGAGGGGAGTGTTTTCAAATGCAAATGACATTTATCCCTTTTTTGTGATATTCCCCCGCACAGGCCTCCATTGTAAGCTAGTTCCTGTCCAATAACAAGAATACGAATATGGCCTATTTCTGTAAGATTTACTTGACTTCGTGATATACTGGCATAAGAGGGGATTATGTACCTCGAGAAGTAAGTCTCTGAATGCTTACTATGTATGTAGAGTGCTACATGACTGCACGATTGGATTAAAAAAAACTCGCGCCATTTTTTTCATCCAATAAGAAGTAAAACAAAAACCAATCGTGACTCACTTGCACACGTTTTGCACGCGTTTTCCCGCGCTTCGCGTCAGCTGCATATAGTTGATTGGGTTATTGGATTATTTGTGTCTTTTGTGATCGGCGAGAGTGATTACTTTGGCTTTGATTTTACAACATTCAATAAGCCACTTTCGACATATTAAAATTCAGCTTGATAGTGAGGCCTAGAGGACACAAACAAAAGAAATGAATAAACATGGTCATTCAATTTCCTTTGTTTGTGTCCTCTAAGCCTCACTGCCAAGCTAATTTTTTTATATCGAAAACGGTCTAATGAAAACCGTTCTAGCAAACTCGCGCCACCTTGTGATCAAATCAAAAGTAAATCCAAAACCAATGGTGACTCGCTCGCACATGTTTTCCCTCGCTTTGCGCTAGCTACATGTATATGCTTCGGGTCATGATGGGTTCACTGGATCATTGTCTGGGTCCTTTGTTATTGGCCAGTGTGATTACTTTGGTTGTGGATGTACAACACTCAACTGAAAAACCACTCAAAGAGTGCCTTTATAATGTTGTCAGCGAAAGGGTCTCGCCAAACTCACTATCTAAACTGTTCACCCTTAACACCAGTAACATATTTTTAACTGAAAACAGTCATGTGACCGCCAAATTGAACAGGGAGTTAGCTGCATCTCGCTCGCTCCTGTTACCAACCCTATCCAAATTAGCCTACAAAAATAATAATCCCACCTGTTTAAGGTGTGAAAAGCAGGAAACGAAATTGTCTTTGTCTGTGAACGTAGAATTGCAAATACGAGACATTATAGCGGAGCTCTGGCAGCCCACGGGCCGCCAAGCGGAGCACCATACCCATATAGGAAAGAAAAGGTAACCCATGAATTGATTTTCTTATGGTTATTATGGCTAGCGGTATTAATCATGGGCGCGTGCGCACGACGACGACGGTGACGGAGTCGCGTAAGATGGCGGCCATACTCCAGCTAACCGGTTGACAGAGACATGAAGCCTTGATTTGTAGCCTCCTTTGATATTGGACATCAATGGTATGGTTAATTGACACCTGTCACAACAAGGATCCGCTGACCAGTATCATGTGACCATATCGCGGGCTCAAGTTTAGAGCTCATCGAGGTCACGTGTTTTGTGAAGTTGACCTCTGAACAAGCGCTGGTTTTCCACTGGATCGCGGGCTCATGTCAGGTTAACTTGTAAACAGGGCTGCGTTTTTCGGAAGCCGGTTAACGCTAACCCAGGATTTTAAATTCATAATATATTCTTCTTGTATACAAATGCTTTTCTCTGTGTTTGTTTTGTGTATTTTGAGATTATTCAAACTCAAAACAGAAGGCCAAACAATACACAGAAAACCTCACCGCAAAGTTACAAAACTCAGATCTTGCTGTTTACCTTAAGGTGGCCGAACACAGTTTTCACACGCGCTCTTGCTGATGTAATTCAGCGCGCGCACAAGGATTGCAAAAAAATAAAAATAAACATGGCGTCAATACAGCGATCATTTTATTTGCTCAATGCCCGCGCTATGTGTATTATTTTTCTTCATAATTGAACAGTGTATTGATGGTATTAGTCTTTTATTACAAAGGTATGTAAGAAAAGGTAACGATGCAAAGAACCCAGCAATTCTCAACTTTTTCTGTTACCAAAAGAACCCAGTTAAATGCAGCGCATGCGTAGTAAGTCAAAAAGGTGCGATTGAATGCGGAATGGCTTTCTCGGAAATACGCCTCTTTCTCGAGAACCACCCATTAGAATTTCACGAAATTTGGCACGAAAATACTTTAGGAAATAAGTGAGTGGAGTACTGAAAAAATTTGTACTTTAACAAAGGAAATTCTAGATATTCCAGTGAACCTTTAACAAGGGATAATTAAAGATCTCTCTGTTAAATTATTATTAAAATAGTGTTTTATAAAAGGCTAAAAGTTACTAAAATTTTTAAAAAACCAAAACGTTTTCTACCGTACGGTCATCATCAGTGGCATATGATGGAAATTTACATACAACTTGGTTTTGTTCGATTGAGTTATTCCCGAGGGCAACAGTTTCGCAATGAAAGAATGTACTTGTTTGTTTAGGGTTGGTTTCTCGCAAGCAATGAGCATCGTCACAAGCTTGTTGCATGCAAATTATAACGAAAATCTAATGACTAGATTTTCTGCAAATAAACAAAACTGTTTATATTTATTCATGTTGCCATGGCAACGGCACGTACGTCAGCTTAACTATCAAAAAACCGAGGTTTGTGTTGTTAATTTGCTTGCTGCCATTTTTGACGACCAAAGGATCAAGGGTTTTAGAGAAAAAGGTGAATGAAATTCAGGTATCAAAAAAGTGTTCAGCCACCTTAATCGGGCTTTGAACTACCCGGCCTAGGTGCTCCGCTTTTAGGCTTGGCTAAATCTATATATTATTCCTGATATTCAATGTCCGTATTGAATGGCCATTTTTTAAAGTACACCCCAAACCGTTTCTTGGTTTCACCAAGAACAAGATAGTGAGCCACTAAACCGATGAAAAATAAAATCTACGTACCTTACGAAGAAGGA